GCCATGTTTTCTTTCCACCGCACATATTTCGACCAAACGCAACACAGTTAAGATGGATCTTTAACGAAGAATCGTTTGAGTTATTCTATAAACACAAGAAAGACCATTTATCAGTTTAATCAGCCATGTTTTCTTTCCACCGCACATATTTCGACCAAACGCAACACAGTTAAGATGGATCTTTAACGAAGAATCGTTTGAGTTATTCTATAAACACAAGAAAGACCATTTATCAGTTTAACCAGCCATGTTTTCTTTCCACCGCACATATTTCGACCAAACGCAACACAGTTAAGACGGATCTTTAACGAAGAATCGTTTGAGTTATTCTATAAACACAAGAAAGACCATTTATCAGTTTAATCAGCCATGTTTTCTTTCCACCGCACATATTTCGACCAAACGCAACACAGTTAAGATGGACCTTTAATGAAGAATCATTTGAGGTATTCTATAAACACAGGAAAGACCATTTATCAGTTAAACGAGCCATGTTTTCTTTCCACCGCACATATTTGGACCAAACGAAACACAGTTAAGATGGACCTTTAATGAAGAATAATTTAAGGTTTTCCATAAACACGATAAAAGGACCATTTATCAGTTCAGCCGACCATGTTTTCTTTTTGCTGTAAGTCGTTCGAAAACAAAGATTCATTTAAGATGGACCTTTAACGAAGAATCATTCGAGGTATTCTTTAAACACAAGAAAGACCATTTATCAGTCTAACCATCCATGTTTTCTTTTTGCCGTAAGTCGTTCGAAAACAAAGATTCATTTAAGATGGACCTTTAACGAAGAATCATTTGAGGTATTCTTTAAACACAAGAAAGACCATTTATCAGTTTAACGAGCCATGTTTTCTTTCCACCGCACATATTTGGACCAAACGCAACACTGTTAAGATCGATCTTTGACGAAGAATCATTCAAGGTTTTCTTTAAGGACAATGAAGGACCATTTATTAGTTTTACCAGCCTTTTTTTCTTTCCACCGCACGTATTTGGACTATAAGCAACACATTAAAGGTGGACATTAAACAAAGAACCATTTCAGTCTTTTAAGAAATTTATGAATAAACCATTTATCAGTTTAAGCAGCTATTTTTTTCTTTTCTTCGTAAGTACAGTACAAACGCGCATAAAAGAACCTAAGTTTTTATCAGGCAGCCTGAATAGGTTCCTAATTAACAGGCTGCTATTCTAAATTTCAGTCTAAAAGTTTCTTAACGAGTCTCCTATACGTACAGGACTTGCATACATTAACAATGTTTTCCACCGCAAAAATTCTAATGGACACACTTGAACCAGCTTTTTTATGTTAAATTTCAACCAATCTAATGAATTTGTCCTGTGAGACTGTCCAAGTAGCATACAACATACCATAACCTGGTTTACTCTAAAAACCATTTCATCTTTTATATATTTAAGAACCCTCCCAATCTTCAGCCTCTTGGAGTTTCTTAATTATGGGGATTTGAAGGTTAAATTGCAGCCTCAATGTTCTTATAAAAACAGGTTCTTTTATGCGGGTTTCTACTGTAGTTCGATTAAACACTATTCAACTAAGATGGACCTTCAACGAAGAATCATTTTAGGTTTTCCATAAATACAAGAAAGAACCATTTATCAGTTTAACCAACCATGTTTTCTTTTTGCCGTGAGTAATTCGACCATACGAAACTCATTAAAGATGGAATTTCAACAAAGAATCATTTCAGGCTTTTTAAAAATACAAGAATTGATCATTTATCAGTTTAGCTGTTAAAATGTCAAAACCAAGAGTTTACAGCAAGATAAATTTGTTACAACAACAAGTCCATCGTAAACTTCCAAGCAATAGTCAGAATTCAATAAGAATCAGCCTTTCAAAGGAGAAAAAGATGAGAAAGAAAGATAGCCATCTGTAACACTGACAAAATAAATCAACGGACAATAGAAAGCAACAGCGAATGAGATTAAGAACAATACCAAGAGAAGCCCTCTCTAACACAACATAGATTCAAACAGCTCTTGCTGCTCTTTAACATGATCATATACGATCATAGCATTGTCTAGATAGCCAGGAATATCTTAGATTGCTAAACAAGCTGTTTATCTTCCTCATGAGGAAGCCGCACAAAAGATCAAGCGCGCTGTTTAATAGCCAATAAAATGAGACTCCTCGAAACACCAGTGTTTTGAATTCATTCGCATATTTTCTTATCATTGAATGTAGATCTTTTTAAAGAAAAGCCTATTTCTTATCCGAATTAACTAGACAGCGAGTCACTTAAATACCCAACATCAACTGTAGAAAATTGATGTAAATATTTTCAGTTCCATTCTTCTTTGTAAATTGTATTGCTATCTTTCTTTATTTTACAATCTTCTGTTGCAAAAATATATGTAGTACACGTGAACAACTGTTCACCATCAGATAATTTTAGACTGCTTTTTTGTAACCTGAAATCTCTGAATTATTGCCTTTTTCACACGTCGGCCTCGGGTGGAATATTGAGCATAATAAACACGATATGAATATATTCAAATAACTGTTTAAAAAATTGCAATTGAAAAAAACTCACCTACTCCTTGTGCCTTTAGCAGTTTTCTCCTGGAATGCTGCAATGGATGTATTCTGCTCAATATCTTTTTCGGCATTGGAATGTCATGTCTCTGAGTTCCAAAGAATCATACTTCTTCATATCGATCTAGCAAATTATTATTATACCATTTAAGTTGTGGATAAACAAATGTGAGAACAATTTTGGAAATAATATGAAATGTCTAAACGGTTAGTTCTGAACAAAAAAAGAGTCTCAAATTCAGTTTGTTTTGCATATCTCAATGTTTTGTATCCGCAGTATCTTGTTTTTACTTTGTTAAAGTTGTTGTATCTTGATCACCACGATTCAGGGGTTGAAGAGGAATTTTTTACCTCTTCTATCTATCATCATTTCATCTCCTTTAAACCAAATGACTTTTTTTAAATTTTGAATGTCCGTTGTTTGATCGTCTATCTTACTTTTGAAAATTCCTCAAAGTACCTACTTTCAAAGGAAATTAATCGAAAAATTTCATGCACTCAAAATGTTATAGAATAATGATACAAAAGATAAAATCTTGAATTTTTGAAACGTACCTTTTTCGACTCTTCAGCTAAACAGCATTTATCTCAATTTAATTATCGTCTGTTGGCTCTTTAGCTTCGTTGGCAACAGGAATCTGAAATGCAGTTTTATAAATTACGACCATCTAGACACAACAAAGTTTAGAGATTTATTGAGATAAAGGAAAATTCATTAGTAATATTAATAATAATATGTATAAAGTGTCTTGAACTTATGTTTAGAGGTTATTTATGGCGAGGCTTGTTTCATATTTCATCTCGCATTGTTTAGAAATCCTCTCTCACAAAATGACAGACAATACTGGATTATTTTTTAAATGTTTGCTACATTCCTCTTTGTTTCTTCGAAGGAAACGTCAGGAAATATCTAGATTTAGTTATGCCGACGTGATAGCCACTAATTACATACAACAAACGTAAAATACTAGATAACTAGCTGCTTACATGTCCCAAGACAATGTTAAATACTTGATTTATATTCTCTTTATTTTTGGCCTCTTGTTAAAGTAATCATAACAATAAATTCATATAACTCACTGCCATTTCGCCTTTTTGCAGCAGTCTCCAGTCAACTCGCCACGGTGTCCAGCTCTATGGTATGCATGAATAATAAAATATTTCAAGCAATTAAATCTGTTAGCAAATCTGCTTTACATGGTGGAAAAATATTGCAATTAAAGTTGTTCTAGATCTGGAGATTAACAAGTTGAATTTTTTCTCCTAGCTCTAATTTTATTAAACAGAAATATTTCTACTTTCACAGCAACATTAAGATCACGAATAAATATCACCTTTAATAATATATCTGTCCAGGTTTCATTGGAAAATATTCTATCAAGTACTATGCAAAAGCGTTTACTTTCCGTTAGAATTCTGCAATTTAAAGATCTCTGTTTGAATTTCAACCATAAATGATCATAATCTGATGTAATATAATATATATAAAAAATACCCATAAAGATTACCACTTGAGTTGGTTACATTACCACATCTTGAGTTGAAGGCTCTTGGCAGCCAATGCTTAAAAAGAACTCTTAAAAAAAGTTAGATTCATTGTTCTTTGAAAACTGTTGTCAATGGGTACTTTATTTTATAGCTAGAATAGGCAGAATTTTATAGCTAGACTAATATTTTCTTCAATTGTTTACTTTATCAAGTTAACTTCAAAATTGCTGCTGCTTTGAATAGAAAAATAATTTATAGTTTTCAGATATATAGTCAGATATATAATTTGACTATTATCAGCATTCAATGCCTCTTTATCAAGAACTTTTCACCAATCAACATTTCAAGAATTTATGCAAATTTTTAAATAAAAAAAAGTTAAATGAAATAGTCCTTTTTTCCCACCATCAAACAAATGTTGACCAAGCATGGCTCTTTAACCAAGAACAAAGTATAAACTCACCTTTTTCACTACAGGGATAGAGCATTCAACAGTTTGAAAACCCCGGTGTTGTATTCAATTAGCGTATTTTGACAAAAAACAGCACCTTTAAGATGGACCTTAAACCAAGAGATATTTATGACTTTTAATAAAGAGAAGCCAGGACCATTTGTCAGTTTCAACAGCCATATTTTCTTTTCACCACACATGGTTCGACCAAACGCAACTCTTTTCACTGTCAGTAGATTGACCAAACACAATTCGTTCCAGATGGAACTTTACCGAAGAATTATTGAATGTTTTGCTTTGAGCACAAGCAAGGAATATTTATCAATTTAACCGACCATGTCGTCTTTTTGCCGTAAGTCGTTCGACAACAAAGATTCATTAAAGATGGACCTTTAACAAAGAATCATTTGAGGTATTCTATAAACACAAGAAAGACCATTTATCAGTTTAACCATCCATGTTTTCTTTACACCGAACATATTTCGACCAAACGCAACACAGCTAAGATGGACCTTTAACGAAGAATCATTTAATGTTTTCCAGTAGTCCGACCAAACGCAATATATTTACGATGGAACTCAAAGGAACAATCATTAAAATCTTTCATATAAAGACAAGAAAGGAACATTCATCAATTTCAACAGTCATTTTTTTTATTTCACCGCACATATTACGACCAACGCAACTCATTTAAGATGGAACTTTAGCAAAGGTTTTCCATAAACACGAGAAAGGACCTTTTATCAATTTTACCAACTAGGTTTTCTTTTTCAGCGCACATATTTGGACCAAACGAAACACAGTTAAGATGGACCTTTAACGAAGAATCATTTAAGGTTTTCCATAAACACAAGAAAGGACCATTTATCAGTTTAGCCGACCATGTTTTCTTTTTGCCGTAAGTCGTTCGAAAAAAAAGATTCATTAAAGATGGACCTTTAACGAAGAATCATTTGAGGTATTCTATAAACACAAGAAAGACCATTTATCAGTTTAACGAGCCATGTTTTCTTTCCAACGCACATATTTGGACCAAACGAAACACAGATAAGATGGACCTATAACGAAGAATCATTTAAGGTTTTCTATAAACAAATAAAAGGACCTTTTATCAATTTAACCAACCATGTCGTCCTTTTGCCCTAAGTCGTTCGAAAACATAGATTCATTTAAGATGGACCTTTAACGAAGAATCATTTTAGGTATTCTATAAACACAAGAAAGACCATTTATCAGTCTAACCATCCATGTTTTCTTTCCACCGCACATATTTCGACCAAACGCAACACAGCTAAGATGGACCTTTAACGAAGAATCATTTGAGGTATTCTATAAACACAAAAAAGACCATTGATCAGATTAATCAGCCATGTTTTCTTTCCACCGGACATATTTCGACCAAACGCAACACAGCTAGGATGGACCTTTAACGAAGAATCATTTAAGGTTTTCCATAAACATAAGAAAGGACCTTCTATCAATTTAACTAACAATGTTTTCTTTTTCAGCGCACATATTTGGACCAAACGAAACACAGCTAAGATGGACCTTTAACGAATAATCATTTGAGGTATTCTATAAACACAAGAAAGAACCATTTATCAGTTTACCCACCTACGTTTTCTTTCCACCGTACATATTTAGACCAAACGCGACACAGTTAAGATGGACCTTTAACGAAGAATCATTTAAGGTATTCTATAAACACAAGAAGGACGATTCATCAGTCTAAGCAGCCATGTTTTCTTTCCACCGCAGTTATTCGGTCAAAACGCAAAACAGTTAAAATGGACCTTTAACGAACAATCATTTAAGGTTATCCATAAACACAAGAAAGACCATTTATCAGTTTAACCACCATGTTTTCTTTCCACCGCACATATTTCGACCAAACGCAACACAGTTAAGATGGACCTTTAACGAAGAATCATTTGAGGTATTCTATAAACACAAGAAAGACCATTTATCAGTTTAACCGACCATGTTTTCTTTCCACAGCACATATTTCGACCAAACACAACACAGTTAAGATGGACCTTTAACGAAGAATCATTTAAGGTTTTCCATAAACACAAGAAAGGACCTTTTATCAATTTAACCAACCATGTCGTCCTTTTGCCCTAAGTCGTTCGAAAACAAGATTCATTTAAGATGGACCTTTAACGAAGAATCATTTGAGGTATTCTATAAACACAAAAAAGACCATTTATCAGATTAATCAGCCATGTTTTCTTTCAACCGCACATATTTCGACCAAACGCAACACAGCTAAGATGGACCTTTAACGAAGAATCATTTGAGGTATTCTATAAACACAAGAAAGGACCATTTATCAGTTTAACGAGCCATGTTTTCTTTCCACTGCACATATTTGGACCAAACGAAACACAGTTAAGATGGACCTTTAACGAAGAATCATTTAAGGTTTTCCATAAACACAAGAAAGGACCATTTATCAGTTTAACGACCATGTTTTCTTTTTTGCAATATTTCGACCAAACAAACACAGTTAAGATGGACCTTTAACGAAGAATCATTTGAGGTATTCCATAAACACAAGAAAGGACCATTTATCAGTTTAACCACCATGTTTTCTTTTTGCCGTAAGTCGTTCGAAAACAAAGATTCATTTAAGATGGACCTTTAACGAAGAATCATTTGAGGTATTCTATAAACACAAGAAAGACCATTTATCAGTTTAACCAGCCATGTTTTCTTTCCACCGCACATATTTCGACCAAACGCAACACAGTTAAGATCGATCTTTGACGAAGAATCATTCAAGGTTTTCTTTAAGGACAATGAATGACTATTCAATAGTTTAACCAGCCTTTTTTTCCTTCCACAGCACATATTTGGATCATAAGCAACACATTAAAGGTGGACATTAAACAAGAAATTTATGAATGAGCCATTTATCAGTTGAAGCAGCTATTTTTTTCTTTTCTTCGTAAGTACAGTACAAACGCGCATAAAAGAACCTAAGTTTTTATCAGGCAGCCTGAATAGGTTCCTAATTAACAGGCTGCTATTCTAAATTTCAGTCTAAAAGTTTCTTAACACGTCTCTTACACGTACAGGACTTGCATACATTAACAATGTTTTCCACCGCAAAAATTCTAATGGACACACTTGAACCAGCTTTTTTATGTTAAATTTCAACCAATCTAATGAATTTGTCCTGTGAGACTGTCCAAGTAGCATACAACATACCATAACCTGGTTTACTCTAAAAACCATTTCATCTTTTATATATTTAAGAACCCTCCCAATCTTCAGCCTCTTGGAGTTTCTTAATTATGGGGATTTGAAGGTTAAATTGCAGCCTCAATGTTCTTATAAAAACAGGTTCTTTTATGCGGGTTTCTACTGTAGTTCGATTAAACACTATTCAACTAAGATGGACCTTCAACGAAGAATCATTTTAGGTTTTCCATAAATACAAGAAAGAACCATTTATCAGTTTAACCAACCATGTTTTCTTTTTGCCGTGAGTAATTCGACCATACGAAACTCATTAAAGATGGAATTTCAACAAAGAATCATTTCAGGGTTTTTAAAAATACAAGAATTGATCATTGATCAGTTTAGCTGTTAAAATGTCAAAACCAAGAGTTTACAGCAAGATAAATTTGTTACAACAACAAGTCCATCGTAAACTTCCAAGCAATAGTCAGAATTCAATAAGAATCAGCCTTTCAAAGGAGAAAAAGATGAGAAAGAAAGATAGCCATCTGTAACACTGACAAAATAAATCAACGGACAATAGAAAGCAACAGCGAATGAGATTAAGAACAATACCAAGAGAAGCCCTCTCTAACACAACATAGATTCAAACAGCTCTTGCTGCTCTTTAACATGATCATATACGATCATAGCATTGTCTAGATAGCCAGGAATATCTTAGATTGCTAAACAAGCTGTTTATCTTCCTCATGAGGAAGCCGCACAAAAGATCAAGCGCGCTGTTTAATAGCCAATAAAATGAGACTCCTCGAAACACCAGTGTTTTGAATTCATTCGCATATTTTCTTATCATTGAATGTAGATCTTTTTAAAGAAAAGCCTATTTCTTATCCGAATTAACTAGACAGCGAGTCACTTAAATACCCAACATCAACTGTAGAAAATTGATGTAAATATTTTCAGTTCCATTCTTCTTTGTAAATTGTATTGCTATCTTTCTTTATTTTACAATCTTCTGTTGCAAAAATATATGTAGTACACGTGAACAACTGTTCACCATCAGATAATTTTAGACTGCTTTTTTGTAACCTGAAATCTCTGAATTATTGCCTTTTTCACACGTCGGCCTCGGGTGGAATATTGAGCATAATAAACACGATATGAATATATTCAAATAACTGTTTAAAAAATTGCAATTGAAAAAAACTCACCTACTCCTTGTGCCTTTAGCAGTTTTCTCCTGGAATGCTGCAATGGATGTATTCTGCTCAATATCTTTTTCGGCATTGGAATGTCATGTCTCTGAGTTCCAAAGAATCATACTTCTTCATATCGATCTAGCAAATTATTATTATACCATTTAAGTTGTGGATAAACAAATGTGAGAACAATTTTGGAAATAATATGAAATGTCTAAACGGTTAGTTCTGAACAAAAAAAGAGTCTCAAATTCAGTTTGTTTTGCATATCTCAATGTTTTGTATCCGCAGTATCTTGTTTTTACTTTGTTAAAGTTGTTGTATCTTGATCACCACGATTCAGGGGTTGAAGAGGAATTTTTTACCTCTTCTATCTATCATCATTTCATCTCCTTTAAACCAAATGACTTTTTTTAAATTTTGAATGTCCGTTGTTTGATCGTCTATCTTACTTTTGAAAATTCCTCAAAGTACCTACTTTCTAAGGAAATTAATCGAAAAATTTCATGCACTCAAAATGTTATAGAATAATGATACAAAAGATAAAATCTTGAATTTTTGAAACGTACCTTTTTCGACTCTTCAGCTAAACAGCATTTATCTCAATTTAATTATCGTCTGTTGGCTCTTTAGCTTCGTTGGCAACAGGAATCTGAAATGCAGTTTTATAAATTACGACCATCTAGACACAACAAAGTTTAGAGATTTATTGAGATAAAGGAAAATTCATTAGTAATATTAATAATAATATGTATAAAGTGTCTTGAACTTATGTTTAGAGGTTATTTATGGCGAGGCTTGTTTCATATTTCATCTCGCATTGTTTAGAAATCCTCTCTCACAAAATGACAGACAATACTGGATTATTTTTTAAATGTTTGCTACATTCCTCTTTGTTTCTTCGAAGGAAACGTCAGGAAATATCTAGATTTAGTTATGCCGACGTGATAGCCACTAATTACATACAACAAACGTAAAATACTAGATAACTAGCTGCTTACATGTCCCAAGACAATGTTAAATACTTGATTTATATTCTCTTTATTTTTGGCCTCTTGTTAAAGTAATCATAACAATAAATTCATATAACTCACTGCCATTTCGCCTTTTTGCAGCAGTCTCCAGTCAACTCGCCACGGTGTCCAGCTCTATGGTATGCATGAATAAGAAGTTATTTCAAGCAATTAAATCTGTTAGCAAATCTGCTTTACATGGTGGAAAAATATTGCAATTAAAGTTGTTCTAGATCTGGAGATTAACAAGTTGAATTTTTTCTCCTAGCTCTAATTTTATTAAACAGAAATATTTCTACTTTCACAGCAACATTAAGATCACGAATAAATATCACTTTTAATAATATATCTGTCCAGGTTTCATTGGAAAATATTCTATCAAGTACTATGCAAAAGCGTTTACTTTCCGTTAGAATTCTGCAATTTAAAGATCTCTGTTTGAATTTCAACCATAAATGATCATAATCTGATGTAATATAATATATATAAAAAAATACCCATAAAGATTACCACTTGAGCTGGTTACATTACCACATCTTGAGTTGAAGGCTCTTGGCAGCCAATGCTTAAAAAGAACTCTTAAAAAAAGTTAGATTCATTGTTCTTTGAAAACTGTTGTCAATGGGTACTTTATTTTATAGCTAGAATATGCAGACTTTTATAGCTAGACTAATATTTTCTTCAATTTTTTACTTTATCAAGTTAACTTCAAAATTGCTGCTGCTTTGAATCGAAAAATAATTTATAGTTTTCAGATATATAGTCAGATATATAATTTGACTATTATCAGCATTCAATGCCTCTTTATCAAGAACTTTTCACCAATCAACATTTCAAGAATTTATGCAAATTTTTAAATAAAAAAAAGTTAAATGAAATAGTCCTTTTTTCCCACCATCAAACAAATGTTGACCAAGCATGGCTCTTTAACCAAGAACAAAGTATAAACTCACTTTTTTCACTACAGGGATAGAGCATTCAACAGTTTGAAAACCCCGGTGTTGTATTCAATTAGCGTATTTTGACAAAAAACAGCACCTTTAAGATGGACCTTAAACCAAGAGATATTTATGACTTTTAATAAAGAGAAGCCAGGACCATTTGTCAGTTTCAACAGCCATATTTTCTTTTCACCACACATGGTTCGACCAAACGCAACTCTTTTCACTGTCAGTAGATTGACCAAACACAATTCGTTCCAGATGGAACTTTACCGAAGAATTATTGTATGGTTTGCTTTGAGCACAAGCAAGGAACATTTATCAATTTAACCGACCATGTCGTCTTTTTGCCGTAAGTCGTTCGACAACAAAGATTCATTAAAGATGGACCTTTAACAAAGAATCATTTGAGGTATTCTATAAACACAAGAAAGACCATTTATCAGTTTAACCATCCATGTTTTCTTTACACCGAACATATTTCGACCAAACGCAACACAGCTAAGATGGACCTTTAACGAAGAATCATTTAATGTTTTCCAGTAGTCCGACCAAACGCAATATATTTACGATGGAACTCAAAGGAACAATCATTAAAATCTTTTATATAAAGACAAGAAAGGAACATTCATCAATTTCAACAGTCATTTTTTTTATTTCACCGCACATATTACGACCAACGCAACTCATTTAAGATGGAACTTTAGCAAAGGTTTTCCATAAACACGAGAAAGGACCTTTTATCAATTTTACCAACTAGGTTTTCTTTTTCAGCGCACATATTTGGACCAAACGAAACACAGTTAAGATGGACCTTTAACGAAGAATCATTTAAGGTTTTCCATAAACACAAGAAAGGACCATTTATCAGTTTAGCCGACCATGTTTTCTTTTTGCCGTAAGTCGTTCGAAAAAAAAGATTCATTTAAGATGGACCTTTAACGAAGAATCATTTGAGGTATTCTATAAACACAAGAAAGACCATTTATCAGTTTAACGAGCCATGTTTTCTTTCCAGCGCACATATTTGGACCAAACGAAACACAGTTAAGATGGACCTATAACGAAGAATCATTTAAGGTTTTCTATAAACAAATAAAAAGACCTTTTATCAATTTAACCAACCATGTCGTCCTTTTGCCCTAAGTCGTTCGAAAACATAGATTCATTTAAGATGGACCTTTAACGAAGAATCATTTTAGGTATTCTATAAACACAAGAAAGACCATTTATCAGTCTAACCATCCATGTTTTCTTTCCACCGCACATATTTCCACCAAACGCAACACAGCTAAGATGGACCTTTAACGAAGAATCATTTGAGGTATTCTATAAACACAAAAAAGACCATTGATCAGATTAACCAACCATGTTTTCTTTCGACAGCACATATTTCGACCAAACGCAACACAGTTAAGATGGACCTTTAACGGAGAATCATTTGAGTTATTCCATAAAAACAAGAAAGGACCATTTATCAGTTTAACCAGCCGTGTTTTCTTTTTGCCGTTAGTCGTTCGACAACAAAGATTCCTTTAAGATGGACCTTTAACGAAGAATCATTTTAGGTATTCTATAAACACAAGAAAGACCATTTATCAGTTTAACCAGCCATGTTTTCTTTCCACCGCACATATTTAGACCAAACGCAACACAGTTAAGATGGACCTTTAACGAAGAATCATTTAAGGTATTCTATAAAAACGAGAAAGACCATTTATCAGTTTAATCAGCCATGTTTTCTATCCACCGCACATATTTCGACCAAACGCAAGACAGCTAAGATGGACCTTTAACGGAGAATCATTTGAGTTATTCTATAAACACAAGAAAGACCATTTATCAGTCTAACCATCCATGTTTTCTTTCCACCGCACATATTTCGACCAAAGGCAACACAGCTAAGTTGGACCTTTAATGAAGAATCATTTGAGGTATTCTATAAACACAAGAAACGACCATTTATCAGTTTAGCCGACCATGTTTTCTTTCCACAGCACATATTTCGACCAAACACAACACAGTTAAGATGGACCTATAACGAAGAATCGTTTAAGGTTTTCCATAAACAGAAGAAAGGATCTTTTATCAATTTAACCAACCATGTCGTCCTTTTGCCCTAAGTCGTTCGAAAACATAGATTCATTTAAGATGGACCTTTAACGAAGAATCATTTTAGGTATTCTATAAACACAAGAAAGACCATTTATCAGTTTAATCAGCCATGTTTTCTTTCCACCGCACATATTTCGACCAAACGCAACACAGTTAAGATGGACCTTTAATGAAGAATCATTTGAGGTATTCTATAAACACAGGAAAGACCATTTATCAGTTAAACGAGCCATGTTTTCTTTCCACCGCACATATTTGGACCAAACGAAACACAGTTAAGATGGACCTTTAATGAAGAATAATTTAAGGTTTTCCATAAACACGAGAAAGGACCATTTATCAGTTCAGCCGACCATGTTTTCTTTTTGCTGTAAGTCGTTCGAAAACAAAGATTCATTTAAGATGGACCTTTAACGAAGAATCATTCGAGGTATTCTTTAAACACAAGAAAGACCATTTATCAGTCTAACCATCCATGTTTTCTTTTTGCCGTAAGTCGTTCGAAAACAAAGATTCATTTAAGATGGACCTTTAACGAAGAATCATTTGAGGTATTCTATAAACACAAGAAAGACCATTTATCAGTTTAACGAGCCATGTTTTCTTTCCACCGCACATATTTGGACCAAACGCAACACTGTTAAGATCGATCTTTGACGAAGAATCATTCAAGGTTTTCTTTAAGGACAATGAAGGACCATTCATTAGTTTTACCAGCCTTTTTTTCCTTCCACCGCACGTATTTGGACTATAAGCAACACATTAAAGGTGGACATTAAACAAAGAACCATTTCAGTCTTTTAAGAAATTTATGAATGAACCATTTATCAGTTTAAGCAGCTATTTTTTTCTTTTCTTCGTAAGTACAGTACAAACGCGCATAAAAGAACCTAAGTTTTTATCAGGCAGCCTGAATAGGTTCCTAATTAACAGGCTGCTATTCTAAATTTCAGTCTAAAAGTTTCTTAACAAGTCTCTTATACGTACAGGACTTGCATACATTAACAATGTTTTCCACCGCAAAAATTCTAATGGACACACTTGAACCAGCTTTTTTATGTTAAATTTCAACCAATCTAATGAATTTGTCCTGTGAGACTGTCCAAGTAGCATACAACATACCATAACCTGGTTTACTCTAAAAACCATTTCATCTTTTATATATTTAAGAACCCTCCCAATCTTCAGCCTCTTGGAGTTTCTTAATTATGGGGATTTGAAGGTTAAATTGCAGCCTCAATGTTCTTTATAAAAACAGGTTATTTTATGCGGGTTTCTACTGTAGTTCGATTAAATACTATTCAACTAAGATGGACCTTCAACGAAGAATCATTTTAGGTTTTCCATAAACACAAGAACGAACCATTTATCAGTTTGACCAACCATGTTTTCTTTTTGCCGTGAGTAATTCGACCATACGAAACTCATTAAAGATGGATCTTCAACAAAGAATCATTTCAGGCTTTTTAAAAATACAAGAAATGACCATTTATCTGTTTAGTTGTTAAAATGTCAAAACCAAGAGTTTACAGCAAGATAAATTTGTTACAACAACAAGTCCATCGTAAACTTCCAAGCAATAGTCAGAATTCAATAAGAATCAGCCTTTCAAAGGAGAAAAAGATGAGAAAGAAAGATAGCCATCTGTAACACTGACAAAATAAATCAACGGCCAATAGAAAGCAACAGCGAATGAGATTAAGAACAATACCAAGAGAAGCCCTCTCTAACACAACATAGATTCAAACAGCTCTTGCTGCTCTTTAACATGATCATATACGATCATAGCATTGTCTAGATAGCCAGGAATATCTTAGATTGGTAAACAAGCTGTTTATCTTCCTCATGAGGAAGCCGCACAAAAGATCCCCAGAACAAGCTTAGTTGACAGCATTAATTGTACGTGCAAAAGTTCAAAACTCTTCAATGTGACAAACATGCTGGCCAAAACGACGTCGATAAATACGATGAAAACGACCAACTGGAACTCAAAACGACAATGACGACAATGATTTTTTGATACACCCTCTCCTCTGCTTTCGTAGAATGGAAACGAGTTAAAATTCAAGCGCGCTGTTAAATAGCCAATAAAATGAGACTCCTCGAAGCACCAGCGTTTTGAATTCATTCGCATATTTTCTTATCATTGAATGTAGATCTTTTTAAAGAAAAGCCTATTTCTTATCCGATTTAAGTAGACAGCGAGTCACTTAAATACCCAACATCAAATGTAGAAAATTGATGTAAATATGTTCAGTTCCATTCTTCTTTGTAAATTGTATTGCTATCTTTCTTTATTTTACAATTTTCTGTTGCAAGAATATATGTAGTACACCTGAACAACTGTTCACCATCAGATAATTTTAGACTGCTTTTTTGTAACCTGAAATCTTTGAATTATTGCCTTTTTCACACGTCGGCCTCGGGTGGAATATTGAGCATAATAAACACGATATGAATATATTCAAACAACTGTTTAGAAAGTGCGATTGAAACAAACTCACCTACTCCTTGTGCCTTTAGCAGTTTTCTCCTGGAATGCTGCAATGAATGTATTCTGCTCAATAGCTTTTTCGGCATTGGAATGTCATGTCTCTGAGTTCCAAAGAATCATATTTTTCATATCGATCTAGCAAATTATTATTATACCATTTAAGTTGTGGATAAACAAATGTGAGAACAATTTTGAAAATAATTTGAAATGTCTAAACGGCTTAGTTCTGAACAAAAAAAGAGTCTCAAATTCAGTTTACTTTTCATATCTCAATGTTTTGTATCCGCAGTATCTTGTTTTTACTTTGTTAAAGTTGTTGTATCTTGATCACCACGATTCAGGGGTTGAAGAGGAATTTTTTACCTCTTCTATCTATCATCATTTCATCTCCTTTAAACCAAATGACTTTTTTTAAATTTTGAATGTCCGTTGTTTGATCGTCTATCTTATTTTTGAATATTCCTCAAAGTACCTACGTTCAAAGGAAATTAATCGAAAATTTTCATGCACTCAAAATGTTATAGAAAAATGATACAAAAGATAAAATCTTGAATTTTTGAAACGTACCTTTTTCGACTCTTCAGCTAAACAGCATTTATCTCCATTTAATTATCGTCTGTTGGCTCTTTAGCTTCGTTGGCAACAGGAATCTGAAATGCAGTTTTATAAATTACGACCATCTAGACACAACAAAGTTTAGAGATTTATTGAGATAAAGGAAAATTCATTAGTAATATTAATAATAATATGTATAAAGTGTCTTGAACTTATGTTTAGAGGTTATTTATGGTGAGGCTTGTTTCATATTTCATCTCGCATTGTTTAGAAATCCTCTCTCACAAAATGAAACACAATACTGGATTATTTTTTAAATGTTTGCTACATTCCTCTTTGTTTCTTCGAAGGAAACGTCAGGAAATATCTAGATTTAGTTATGCCGACGTGATAGCCACTAATTACATACAACAAACGTAAAATACTAGATAACTAGCTGCTTACATGTCCCAAGACAATGTTAAATACTTGATTTATATTCTCTTTATTTTTGGCCTCTTGTTAAAGTAATCATAACAATAAATTCATATAACTCACTGCCATTTCGCCTTTTTGCAGCAGTCTCCAGTCAACTCGCCACGGTGTCCAGCTCTATGGTATGCATGAATAAGAAGTTATTTCAAGCAATTAAATCTGTTAGCAAATCTGCTTTACATGGTGGAAAAATATTGCAATTAAAGTTGTTCTAGATCTGGAGATTAACAAGTTGAATTTTTTCTCCTAGCTCTAATTTTATTAAACAGAAATATTTCTACTTTCACAGCAACATTAAGATCACGAATAAATATCACTTTTAATAATATATCTGTCCAGGTTTCATTGGAAAATATTCTATCAAGTACTATGCAAAAGCGTTTACTTTCCGTTAGAATTCTGCAATTTAAAGATCTCTGTTTGAATTTCAACCATAAATGATCATAATCTGATGTATTATAATATATATAAAAAAATACCCATAAAGATTACCACTTGAGTTGGTTACATTACCACATCTTGAGTTGAAGGCTCTTGGCAGCCAATGCTTAAAAAGAACTCTTAAAAAAAGTTAGATTTATTGTTCTTTGAAAACTGTTGTCAATGGGTACTTAGGCAGAAATTTATAGCTAGACTAATATTTTCTTCAATTTTTTACTTTATCAAGTTAACTTCAAAATTGCTGCTGCTTTGAATCGAAAAATAATTTATAGTTTTCAGATATATAGTCAGATATATAATTTGACTATTATCAGCATTCAATGCCTCTTTATCAAGAACTTTTCACCAATCAACATTTCAAGAATTTATGCAAATTTTTAAATAAAAAAAAGTTAAATGAAATAGTCCTTTTTTCCCACCATCAAACAAATGTTGACCAAACATGGCTCTTTAACCAAGAACAAAGTATAAACTCACCTTTTTCACTACAGGGATAGAGCATTCAACAGTTTTAAAACCCCGGTGTTGTATTCAATTAGCGAATTTTGACAAAAAAAAGCACCTTTAAGATGGACCTTGAACCAAGAGATATTTATGACTTTTAATAAAGAGAAGCCAGGACCATTAGTCAGTTTCAACAGCCATATTTTCTTTTCACCACACATGGTTCGACCAAACGCAACTCTTTTCACTGTCAGTAGATTGACCAAACACAATTCGTTCAAGATGGAACTTTACCGAAGAATTATTGAATGTTTTTCTTTGAGCACAAGCAAGGAACATTTATCAATTTAACCGACCATGTCGTCTTTTTGCCGTAAGTCGTGCGACAACAAAGATTCATTAAAGATGGACCTTTAACATAGAATCATTTGAGGTATTCTATAAACACAAGAAAGAACATTTATCAGTTTAACCATCCATGTTTTCTTTCCACCGCACATATTTGGACCAAACGAAACACAGTTAAGATGGACCTTTAACAAAGAATCATTTGAGGTATTCTATAAACACAAGAAAGACCATTTATCAGTTTAACCATCCATGTTTTCTTGCCACCGCACATATTTGGACCAAACGAAACACAGTTAAGATGGACCTTTAACAAAGAATCATTTAGGGTATTCTATAAACACAAGAAAGACCATTTATCAGTTTAACCATCCATGTTTTCTTTCCACCGCACATATTTGGACCAAACGAAACACAGTTAAGATGGACCTTTAACAAAGAATCATTTGAGGTTTTCCGTAAACACAAGAAAGAACCATTTATCAGTTTGACCAACCATGTTTTCTTTTTGTCGTGAGTAGTTCCATCATACGCAACTCATTAAAGATGGACTTTCAACAAAGAATCATTTCAGGCTTTTTAAAAATACAAGAATTAACAATTTATCAGTTTAGCTGTTAAAATGTCAAAACCAAGAGTTTACAGCAAGATAATTTTGTTACAACAACAAGTCCATCGTAAACTTTCAAGCAATAGTCAGAATTCAATAAGAATCAACCATTCAAAGGAGAAAACGATGAGAAACAAAGATAGCCATCTGTAAAACTCTGACAAAATATATCAACGGCCAATAGAAAGCAACAGCGAATGAGATTAAGTACAATACCAAGATAAGCCCTCTCTAGCACAACATAGATTAAAACAGCTCTTGATGCTCTTTAACATAGTCATATACGATTAGAGTCTTGTCTAGATAGCCAAGAATATCTTAGATTGGTAAACAAGCTGTTTATATTCCTCACGAGGAAGCCGCACAAAAGATCACCAGAAAAAGTTTAGTTTACAGCATTACAGTAAAGATGGACCTTTAACGAAGAATCATTTGAGGTATTCTATAAACACAAGAGAGACCATTTATCAGTTTAATCAGCCATGTTTTCTTTCCACCGCACATATTTGGAGCAAACGCAACACAATTAAGATGGACCTTTAACGAAGAATCATTTGAGGTATTCTATAAACACAAGAACGACCATTTATCAGTTTAACCATCCATGTTTTCTTTCCACCGCACATATTTGGACCAAACGAAACACAGTTAAGATGGACCTTTAACAAAGAATCATTTGAGGTTTTCCATAAACACAAGAAAGAACCATTTATCAGTTTGACCAACCATGTTTTCTTTTTGTCGTGAGTAGTTCCATCATACGCAACTCATTAAAGATGGACTTTCAACAAAGAATCATTTCAGGCTTTTTAAAAATACAAGAATTAACAATTTATCAGTTTAGCTGTTAAAATGTCAAAACCAAGAGTTTACAGCAAGATAATTTTGTTACAACAACAAGTCCATCGTAAACTTTCAAGCAATAGTCAGAATTCAATAAGAATCAACCATTCAAAGGAGAAAACGATGAGAAACAAAGATAGCCATCTGTAAAACTCTGACAAAATATATCAACGGCCAATAGAAAGCAACAGCGAATGAGATTAAGTACAATACCAAGATAAGCCCTCTCTAGCACAACATA